AGTATCATTTCTGTTCAAAATAAATAAACTGGTTAGTATTACCAAATAAAACGATAAAACACTGGAAAGATAATGGGTTCTCTGGCTAGATACTCATCAGGAACAGACAGTTTTGCTTGTTTTGTCTCCTAAAAGAATTTTGAAACACTGAGTATCCTAAAGCACATTTTTTGAAGTAGACTTTATGTCTAAAATATTTCATTATAGGTTTAAACTGTTGCAAAGGATAGACATTTTGGCATACTGAAAATAGTGCCATCTGAAAATAAAGTTATGGTGTTCTTTTCAAAGTATATAACAGATTTGCTACTTTCTAAGCAAAGTAAAATTTTACATTTTTGGTTTTTCCTTTGAAATTGAGTCTGTTTTATGCTGCTCAGAATTATATCTAATTTAATGTATTATTTCAAAGTTTTGGTTACCCTATTATACAACTTAGCAATGAAAACATGTATATAAAGGGAATTAATTTATAGAGGTTTATTGTATTGATGACTTGAAGCATTATATTTCTTTTGGATTGAGTTCTCATTACAATTACTGTTAATCAGAGTATCCTAAATTTTGTATTGTAAATTTTTTTGTAAGTATCATACCAAGTAACATTCTGATACAAGTGCATCTCTGTGCATTTTATCGTAATGCTTTTTCTTTAATTAAGCTCATTATTTTGCTATAATTAATTATAGAATGAGATCGTATCCAACATTAATTCTTTTTTTTTTAAGATTTATTAGTTATGCATATAAGAGCTGGGTGTAGGCCAGAGGTGCGGCGTGGGGGTGTTGAGAGGATTCACCAGAGACAGAGTGGGGAGCAGAACAGGCAGATCTACTGAAATATACTGCTGAGGAGTGAGACAGGAGAGGTCTGCTATGCCATGTGAGATAGCTCACTGGTGGGGATCAAACTCATTGATCAAATGATTGCTCTAAGGTAGGGGGCACTGGACAGACCATGCAGACTATAATACTTAAATTACATTTACTCCAAGTGGGCTTAACCTATGTTTCCTTTCTGAATTTTCATTATCTAATAAATGGTTTGAGGAGTTTCCCAAAATGAAAGTTTTGAATAAAACAAAAATTAAAAAAATAAAATATGTGGAGGGGTTAAAGTCTCAGTGCTATCAAGCCAACCGCTGTGGCCTGAGTTTGATCCCTAGTCAGGGACCTAACCCACGTGGCGCAGCAGACCTCTCCTGTTTGACCTTCTGCTCCCCACTCTGTCTCTGGTGAATCTTCTCATTTCCTGCACCCCTGGCTTACACTCCAGTTCTTGTATGCATAAATAAATAAAAGTATTAAAAATATATATCTGGGGCCTCCCAGGTGGTGCAGCGGTTGAGCACTGGGTTGCAAAGCTGCCCGCAGCCTCTGCAGTGCCGGTTCGATCCCCAGCTGCTCCCCGGCCACCGGAGGAGGATCCCACATGGCGCGCAGATCTCTCCTGCCGCCCGCTGCTCCCCTCTGCCGCCCACTGCTCCCCTCAGCAGTGTACTTCGGTACTTCTGCCTGCTCTGCTCCCCGCTCTGGCTCTGGTGAATTCTCTCACCCTCCCACGCTTCTGACTGTACCCAGTGCTTGTATGTATAAATAAATAAATAGATCTTTAAAAAATAATAATAATAATAATATATCTGCATCTCATTATCTTCCTGTGCTAGTAGTAGTGGAGGGCTGAGTATTAATGATATTTTAAAATCAGGATTCTGGGCTTGGGTGAAAACTGTCTATTGAGTGTTGTTTTATAATTGTGTTCCTTTGGAATAAAGTGATATTTACTCTTATAGCCTAGAAGAAGTCCAGAGTGCCCTTCAGAACAAAGAGATTGACTGCCTTAGAATGACTGAGGAAGTTGAACGGACCAGAACTTTGGAATCTAAAGCATTCCAGGAAAAGGAACAACTGAGATCAAAGCTCGAAGAGCTGTACGAAGAAAAGGAAAGAACATCCCAGGTATGTTTGCGTGTCCATTTTTCGTGTGTACTGAGGACAGGTGAATTAATGGGCCAGTCAGCATAAGGCTCTTTTACGTGCTTGGATGACCTGGGTTCAGTTGCTCTAGCACATGCAGATGCATGTGGTCATGAAAGCTGGGAAATGGGGCTCTGTCTCTCACTGCCTGTACTCTTGAAGTCATGAAATACTTTCATTTTAAAAGAAAAATAAAGAGAGCTCATTCTTCCTTTCCTGGTTTGATTTACCTGCAGGAGATGGAAATGTTAAGGAAGCAAGTAGAATATCTTGCTGAGGAAAACGGAAAGTTGGTAGGTCACCAAAACTTACATCAGAAGATTCATTATGTAGTGCGGCTGAAGAAGGAGAATGTCAGACTTACTGAGGTAAACTTTGAAAATTTTTCTAAATTATTGTTTTAAAATAATTATTTAATTTAAATTTAATTTTTTTAAAGATTTATGTATTCATGCATAGAAGAGGTAGTCCAGAGATGCAGTGGGTGAGAGGATTCACGAGAGACAGAGTGGGGAGTAGAACAGGCAGATTTACTGAAATACACTGCTGAGGGGAGCAGCAGGTGAGCCAGGAGAGGTCTGCTGTGCCATGTGGGTCACCTCCCTGGCCAGGGATTGAACTCGTGCCGTTGTGGCTGGTGGTAGCTTGATGGTGTTGAGACTAAGGTGGCCCCTTAAATTTTTTTTTTTTTTTATAGAGGCATGTTTTTATTTATTTGTTTGTTTGTTTGTTTGTTTTGTTTATACATGCACTGGGTACAGTCAGAAGCGCGGGAGGGTGAGAGAATTCACCAGAGCCAGAGCGGGGAGCAGAGCAGGCAGAAGGACCGAAGTACACTGCTGAGGGGAGCAGTGGGCAGCAGGAGAGGTCTACGCGCCATGTGGGACCCTCCTCTGGTGGCCGGGGAGCAGCCGGGGATCGAACCGGCACTGCAGAGGCTGTGGGCAGCTTCGCAACCCAGCGCTCAACCGCTGCACCACTGGGGAGGCCCTGGCCCCTTAAATTTAATTTATTGAATTACTTAACTGCTTTCTTCTGGGGACTTACTTAAGTTCAGTTACTGCTATTCCAAGCATAATTCTATCAGGTTACTATCTATGCACATCAAATTTATTGTTTTAGGTTAAGTAGCTTAGAAATTGAAATTGTGGTCTTAATTTGAAAAATAAAGTAAATGTATGCTAGTAATATGCTCTCATCCTGTAAAAATTAGAGCCTTGATTTTTTTTTTCTTTCTTAATTATCAGGAGACAGAAAAGTTGCGTGCTGAAAATGTATTTTTAAAAGAAAAGAAAAAGAGTGACTCATAAGAATCCCAGGCATCAACTTATTTGGAAAAATTCTTGTAAAAGTAAGATGCCCACCCTTGCACACTTAGTGGAGCTGAATTAGACTGTGATTATTGATTAAATGTGTGTTTGTGGGGGACGGAGGGTGATGGCAGACCCTTAGGTTTCTGATGACCGTTCTGCATCCACTTACTTCCTGTGGTCAGCAATTTGCTGTTAAGAGGCTGCTACCCCATTTCAAGACCTTAAACCAACTGTAAATAATGGGAAACCTTTGCTTTTTTAAAATAAAATCTGTCACCAAGGTTTATAGTGGACAGTGGCCTGATCATTTTTTCCTTAGATACACCAGAAGCTCTAACAATATATAGCAATTCCTCAACTTGCAGTAAGGTTGTACAGCATGTATGAAAAGCAAACTTGTCAATATAAAATATTTTTGTATTTCTATTTTATTCTCATGAGCATTTTTTATGATTGTAAATATGGCCATTTTTCAAAATGTAATTTTTCTAAAAATAATAAAGTGGTTTATACAGTTCGTTTATTAGTTCATTTAATGAACACCTACCATATGCCAGGGCACTGACCACCAGAGAACAAAGCAAGCAAAAATCTCTGCCCTCAAGGAACTAACATGTGTGTCAGCACCTGTTACTTATTATTGTAATATTCCATTGGATGGACATCTGACATTTAATTTATTCACCATTTGATGGACGTTTGAACGATTTGCAGTTAGAGGCTGTCATGAATAATGCTATCATAAATATTTGTGTAGATCTGGGTGTGGACATAGATTTCCTGTCCCTGGAGTAATCGGTGGAGTTGCTGGGTCACTTAGGAAGCATGTATCTAATGTTTTAAGACACCGCCAAACTGTTTTCCAAATGTGCCATTTGTCTTTCCCACCTCAGAGTGCTCCAGTTTCTCCACATCCTCACCAGCACCTCTTATAGTCATCTAGGTGGGTGTGTAGTGGTATATCCCGTTTTACTAATCATATGAACACTTGATTATGGACTACTCAGCAATTAGAGATAAGCTGATACATGCTGCAACATGGGTGAACCTCAGACATGCTAAGTGAAAGAAGCCAGACCCCCAAAACCTATTATTGTGTGATTCCACTTAGGTGAAATGTCCAGAAAAGGCAAAAGGATAAAGGTGGCGGTATGCATCTGGGCCCTTTGATTTGTCAGAAGCCCTGACCCCAGTCCTCTGGCCTTGTTAACCTGGAGGTTTCTACTGCCCTCTGCCGAAGAAGCTTCTCTCCTCCGATTGATCACATCCCCATTCCGCGCTTCTCAAGCTGAAAGGTGCAGTTGATCCCTAGCGGTCTTGTTAAAAAGCAGATTCCGATTCAATGACCTGGGTTGTGGCCTGGGATTTGGTATTTTTAACAAGTTCTAAGGGGAAGCCAATGACGAACCACACTGGAATGAAGTTTCAAGAACGGAACCTCCTGGGCGGCCCAGTTAACGTTCTGCAACAGCCATCACAGCACCACGGAGGCCTCTGACCCGGGTCCCAGCGTGCTCCCGGGCAAATTTGAACCCGACACAGGAGGCCTCCCACCGTCCCAGTCGCCCACGCCCTTTGAGGCCACCTTGGAGGCCTAATGGGCCTCTCTGCTCACGTGAGCGTCTCGTCACGTGAGGCCGCTGTCCAATCGCGGGGCGCGCTCAGCCCATCGGCGCGCGCGGCGGGCGCCCGGAGAGGTGGCGGCGGCACCATGGCCGCGAGCCCGCTGCCCTCGGGCGGCGCCGTGTCCGCGGCCGCCTACCCTGAAGCCCCTGCCGCGATCCCCCTGCACCTCCAGGCGGGCGCGATGCGGCGCCGCTTCCTGGGCGTGTTCAACTGCCTGTGCGCCGGCGCGTTCGGGGCCGTGGCCGCCGCCTCGGCCAAGCTGGCCTTCAGCCGCCAGGTGGAGCCCGGGGCGCTGCTGCGGGCGGGCGGGCGGGCGGGGAGCCGGGCGGGGAAGGGGCTCTGCGGACCCCGGGGCGGGGCGGGGCTGGGGGAGCAGGGCGCCACCTCCTCTCCACCGGTCGCTTGGGCCGGGTGCCCCGCCCCGGCGCCGCTGTCAGCTGGGCCGGGAGAGCCTTCCTCGATCCTAAACCAAACCTTCACCCAGTGTAGGCGGTAAGAGACGTCGGGGACTGAGGCCTCTTCCCTTACCAGGGACCTAAAATCTGTCCTCCGGTTGGGCTAGTTCGCTCTTGGGGAAGACGCACATCTCCTACATCCACTCTCTACCTCTCATTTTATGCCCCTTGTGCCTGAAAATTTCTCTCCACGTGACTCAAGGTGAGATGCCTGTTGCCCATTTTACTCCGTAATTAACGGGTGTTATGAGAGACCTACTTTGCTGTCAGGAAAGTGGGGAGTTTGGGGTACCCTAGGTATAAGGGAAGAATAAGAGAAACGGTGTGGATATTTCCCTGATGTTGAGACTTCTTAACTGCCTCCCCACGTCTGCTAGGGAGCACTTCACCAGGCCCTGCAGAGCCTTTAGCCAGCTTGGGCTTGTTAGAGCGGCAGGCCAGGGTTAGCCGCTACCCCAGATAATGGGCTGATTCCTTAGGTTTATACCTAATTAGAACTAATCCAATGGGAGCTGCAATGCTTGAGGTTGGCATCCTGTTGGATGTCACTTGAATTAAGTGATCCAGAGCCAGATAAGTGACTGAGCGGGTCTTTTCAGTTGTGCACCAGGCTCTCAGCACTACTATAAAAAAGGCAGCACAGGCTGTACAGTGCTTTTGTGCAAATTATAGGGCGATACACTTAATACATTGTTTATTTAGCTGCTGGAAAACTGTTACAGGAAATAAGAGTTTGATGTTTAGATAGGCACAACCCCCAGCAAGCAGCCCTATCCCAATCAGGTTTCTAATTTAGAACCAAGCAAGGCTGCCTGCATATCCTTAGTGTTGGAGGCTTTTGAAGATTCTCTTCTCTCAAGCCTCTCCTTTCAGAAAGGAAAAAAAAAAAAAATGAAAAAAAATCTGCAAGTTCTCCAAGTGAGTCCTGGGACCACCAGGCCAGCAGCCTCAGGCGGTTTTCCCCAGGCAAGCTGTGTCCTGGTTCAGAGCAATAGCCACATTGCCTGGGGTTGAATCCTGTCGCCTCCCACCAGCCCTGCACTTTAGGCAAGCTGCGGGATACTTCAGTTTCTTTATCTGTGAAATGAAGTTCATGAATGCATGAGAATGCACTTAGAAACCTCAGCACAGGGCTTCCCTGGTGGTGCCGGCGCTTGAGCGCAGCACTGTGAAGCTGTCTGCAGCCTCTGCAGTTGTAGGTTTGATCCCAGCTGGGCGGCGAGAATTCCACATGACTCAGCAGACCTCTCCTGCCTCGCCTGCTGCTCCCTTCAGCAGTGTATTTTGGTCACTCTGCCTGTTCTGTTCCCTGCTCTATCTCTGGTGAATCCTCTCACCGCCCCTCCACTGCGCATCTGGCCTGTACCCCAGTTTTTGTATAAATAAGTAAGTCTTTAAAAAAAAAAAAAAAAAAAACCTCAGCACAGGGCCTGGCTCGAGTAAGAGCTCTCAAATACCCAGTAGGACATGAGTGTAGCCTGTGCAGGTTGGCAGGAGACATGACCAAGTCATGTTTTGCCTGACCTCAGGAAATGAGGACTTGGCCCCTGATTGACTCCTGCTAAACACTGAATAACAGATACTTGACCCTCAGGGATTGCTTTTTGAGAATCAGTCATTGTGGAACCAAAAAGGTAAATACTGATTATAGATTAGCATTTTCCTTCTGCCCAAGGTCTCATGGCCAGCAAGATGGCCAAATAAGTACCTCCTCTCTGTTTAAGCTATAAAGCAGGTTTCTGCCCACTGAGGGTTCAGTGAAGTTCTGTGCAGGAAAACTAGAGACCCCCCAGGCTGTGGAGGGATCTCAGTGGGGCCTGGGTATGCTGTGAGGGGGCTACAGGTCGTACTACCTGGGCTGGTGGGTAAGGCTGCAGTGACACTTTCTCCTGCAGGTGAACGTGGGCTTATGCATCATAGGCATTGTTATGATGGCCACCACCAATTCTCTGATGTGGACATTCTTTAGTCGGGGCCTCAGTTTCTCCATGTCTTCGGCCATAGCATCTGTCACAGTGACTTTCTCAAACATCCTCAACTCGGTAAGTAGCCTGAGGGTGTGGGTGTCCTGTCTCAAACCTGGGTTCTGGGAGGGCACTTTCCCAGATAGAAGAAAGGACAGAGGCGGGGAGCAGAGGTGGGGCTGTGACTTAACCCCTGCTCTCTGGCCCTCTAATCTCTCAAACATGGAGGAATTCTCAAATTAGGTGGGATTGAAATTCAACTGTTAAAAACCTACCTGTTCGCCATTCCTCTGGACTAGAGCCTTCATCTGAAGTCCCGTGCAGACTAGGGGTCTGTGAACTCCAGCCTGAGCTGGAGGGTTGAGGTCGATCCCTCTGGTGGTCTGAGGTCAACCAGACAGGGTTGAGCCCTCTCTGCCCTGCAGTTGAGGGAGGTAGGCATGGTGGCCCAGGTCTGGTCACCAAATGCTAGGCATCAGCTGGGTGCTGGGCTCAGCTGCCAGGCTTTGCTGGTCTCGCTCTTGTACTTTGCTGGGGTCCAATGCTGTGAGGAAGGGACCCTTTCGGCTTGTACAGGTGAGACAGAAATGAATAGAGTGATTTGCTGAAGGTGATCGCTGGGTTTTATGCTCAGAACTTATAGCTCCCTTCGGGTCTCCCTCGGGGGGCAGTCAGCCGCTGGGGAGTGAGTGTGTCCCCACTCACCACCGTCGAGTCCCTGGGGCTCACAGCTGTCTCTGTCCTGCAGGCCATGCTGGGCTATGTGTTGTATGGAGAGTGCCAGGAGGTCTTGTGGTGGGGAGGCGTGTTCCTCATCCTCTGCGGACTCACCCTGATCCACAGGACTTTCCCTCCAGTCTGCAAGACCCTTCCACACAAGCGCCAGTAGCCCCGGGCAGCTGGGCGGACCAGCTGGAAAGACGGATGGGCCTGATGCTGTGTTGGCACGTGGGGACCGCCGTGTCCTAGTGTAACAGGGTGACCCCACCCTCAGCCAAGGTGAGATGCTAAACTGGCCAGGCCTTCAGACCAGCCCTGCGCCCCAGGGAAGCGGGCCTGTAACCCAGCAGCCTGAGGGCGGATAGCACTGGCTTCTGTAAGGGAGATGCCACCACTTGGCAGCGCCCTGCGGGTTGTCGTTATCTACAGCGCTGTTGATTCTCACATTCCTGGGCCGAGGCAGGTGCTGGAGACCATGTCATTGGTCTGTTTCATGTGTAGTCCTTAACACCATCATGTGATTGTAGTCCTGTTGCCTGACCAAAGCTGGTTTGGGATCAGGGACCGGCAGGGCTTTCTGAACGTCATGCTGATGTATCAAGCCATCCATGTTGTGCTTCTTTACCGTGGCAAGAGAAGAAAAGCTGGATTAATAAATACTTTTTTGTAAGTTCAACCTATCAGATCTGGAGTCTTCATTGTTTCAAGCAGTCTGAACTGCCAGTCCCAGAGTGGAGGAGGCAGGCAGGAGCTCCTGCCCGAGAGCCCCAGCCTGGGTTGAGCTGCTCTCCTTCCTGCAGAGCCCGGCCTCTGCACGGATGCCTGCCTGCGGGCACCTGGCCGCCTCCTTCAGGAGGGTCTGCCTGTTCTTTTGCTACTTTTAAGGAGAAGAGCTTGATCTCATGTTGGGGACCTTGTTTTATTTTACTTACTAGAAAAAGAAACTGGCCCAGAGATTGCTCCTGCCCGTCATTTCACCTTGACGCCTCTTCTGTCCTTTGGTTTTCTTCCCCAGATTCCCTGGCGCTTGTGGCTTACCCATGTGAATATAATTCCTAGTTAAAATGATGAGTGTGAGGCCTGCATCCCGGTGACATGCTCACCTGTTCCAGTTTCCCGGGGGCGCCCTCTCAGCTCTCCTGAGCCTGACCTTTAACAATCTCTGCCATAGGGAGGGGCTTGGTGGCCAGCAGGTTTGGGGAGAGAAGGGTCTTATCCAGACTGGCCCCTCCTCCCCATGCTTGGCCACCTCCTTCAGTCACCTGGCCTCTGTCATTCATTGTACAATTGACAGGTGAGCTTTCTACAGCTGTTCCATGGCTCTGGGTTGGATTCTGGCCCTAGACCACCTCTCAACATCTCTTTTGCCACCTCCTCAATACAAACATCTGCATCTTAACAGTTTTGAAGCCCACCAGCCCCATACATTTGCCTTTGCCTTAGCCTTGGATTCCCTTCACCTCTCCCTGGTAACTCCTACTCTCCTTCAGTACCACCAGGGCACAGTTTGCTGCTTTTTCGAGTTCCCACAGGGGTCAAGCAAATGAGTCACCAAATGTTAATCGATGAGCCCTATTTAACAATTGAAGCCTCTCTGCTATACCATGATGGAGGTGTTCTTCTTATTCCCATTTTAGAGGTTATGAAACTAAGGCTCAGAGAGGTTGAGTACTTTGTCCAAGGTTACACAGCTAATGAGTGCCAGAACCACATCAGCCCGAGTCTGACTCCAGGGCATGGCTCTTAATCCCTTACTGTCCCACTGCCACACTAGAGAGCCCAGAGAGGCCTATGGAAGAGGAGCACATTTTACAGAGTCAAACGTCATTCCTAACATCTGAGCCCTTTTCTTTCTTTCTTTTTTTTTTAAAAAAAGATTTATTTATTCATACAAGAACTGGGGTACAGGTCAGAGGCGCGGGAGGGTGAGAGAATTCACCAGAGACAGTGGGGAGCAGAACAGGCCGACGAACTGCAGACACTGCTGAGAGGAACAGCAGGCGAGACAGGAGTGGTCTGCCTCGCCATGTGGGATTCTCTCTGGCCAGCCGGGATCGAACCCACACCGCAGAGGCTGTGGACAGCTTCACAATGTGGCGCTCAACCTGCTGCGCCACCAGGGAGGCCCCTCTTTTCATCAACCACCTCCTACCTCCGCTGAGGGTCCCTGATGTTCCCTGGATCACATCAGTTCTCACTGATGTGTCTGCTACATCCTGCCTTTCAGGAAGACGAAGACAATTTGGGGCTCTGCAGACAGGGCCAGACCCAAAAGCTCTTGAGAGTCAGTGTCAGGCCTCCTGGACAATCCCGAGAAGGACAAGAAGTCCATCTTGGAGCAGACATTGTCCTGAAGGGCCCCAGCCTCCCCTCCAGACAGCTGCTGAATACACAGCAGCCTGGGTGTGGACCTAAGACCCTCTCACCCTTGGTTCAACAGACAGGCCTATAAGAGGAACTCAGGAAACAAGATGTCTCTCTAAGAGGAAGATTTGTCATTGCACAAGAAGCAGAGACCTCTCGTCAGCTAAGAAGAATGCTGGGGAGTCGTCACTGTCTCACTGTCGCCTTCTTCGTTTCAGATGTATATTAGTTTGATAAACAACATCCACATCTGGCTTCCTGGTGAGCAGATGGCTTCCTGATGGCTTGAACTTAGTTTTGTTGTTCTGGAGTTTGAATTCCAGCTTCAGCAGCCAGTGCCCAGCTAGGTCAGTGTTACTGGTTTTTTAAAAATTATTTTATTTTACTTCTTTATTTTAGAGTACAATTCTATAAATTTTTTTTAAGTGTAACTGCAAAGTTTTCAACTATCACCATGATCTAATTCCAGAACATTTTATCACCACAAAAAGAAACTCGCATACTACTGATCTGCCTTCCGTCTGGATGGACTTGCTTATTCTGGACATTGCACCTCAGTGGAATCGCGCGGCACGGGGCCTTTGTGTCCAGCAGCTTTTACTGGCATCCGTGCACATCCATGCAGGTATCGGTACTTTGTTCCTCTTGGTGACTAGTATCCCACTGTGTGTGTGCACATTTTGCTTATCCCGTCTTCCTCTAATGGCCATGTGGCTTGTAGCTACCTTTGGCTATTGGGAAGAAATCTGTTAAGGATTTTTGTGGACACATTTTTGTCTGGACTTGCATTTTCAATTCTATTGGATTTATACCTAGGAGTGCAATTGTTGAGAGATGTAATTCTATGTTTAGCTCTTTGAGGACCTGCAGACTGTTTCCCACAGCAGCCATGCCATGTTATGTGAGTGCTTAAGTTTCTCCATGTCCTTATTATGTCCATCTTTTTTATTATAGTTGTCCTGGTGGCATCTCATGATGGCAGTGAAGGGGAGAAGTGATCAAACTCTAAATAATGCACTGTGAAGGCAGAGGCCATAGGATTTGCTGATGAGTTGAATAAGGGGTATGAGAGAAAGAGAGAGGATGCCTTTGTGATTTTGACCTGTCCAATTTGAAGAATGCAGATGAGAGCAGGAATGGGCAGGAATGTCAAGAGCTCACTTTTGGGCCTCCCCTGGTGGCGCAGTGGTTGAGCGCTGGGTTATGAAGCTGCCTGCAGCCTCTGCAGCACTGGTTTGATCCCCGGCTGCTCCCCGGCCACCAGAGGGAGGGTCCCACATGGCGCGCAGACCTCTCCTGCCGCCCGCTGCTCCCCTCAGCAGTGTACTTCGGTCCTTCTGCCTGCTCTGCAAACTGCTCTGGCTCTGGTGAATTCTCTCACCCTCCTGGCGCTTCTGACTGTACACAGTGATTGTATAAATAAATAAATAAATAAATGTTTAAAAAAAAAAGCTCACTTTTGAAGCTGTTCATTTTAAGATGCTTGTTACACTTCCGGGAGGAGGTGTTTGGTAGGCAGGAGGGTAAGGGGCAGTCTGGAGGCCCTCAGCGTCCAGCCAGCATTTGAAATCATGACTGGATGAGTTCTTGGAGAGCTTCCCCTTTTGCTCAGGGGTCCCAGAGTTTTTATTATATATTTTATTTATACATGTGTCATTCATTGACATGTCTCAGAACCACAGGCAGCAGCTAGGGTTGAGTAGTGAAGAAATGCCCCACCCAGGCCAAGAGGAAATCCTGATTGGGACTCTAAAGAGGCTGGGATATAGGTTGGGCTGAGTTCCTTATTTTTTATTTATTAAAAGAGGCATGTATTTTTATTTATTTATTTGTTTGTTTGTACATGCACTGGGTACAGTCAGAAGCACGGGAGGGTGAGAGAATTCACCAGAGCCAGAGCGGGGAGCAGAGCAGGCAGAAGGACCCAAGTACACTGCTGAGGGGAGCAGCGGGTGGCAGGAGAGGTCTGCACGCCATGTGGGACCCTCCTGCGGTGACCCGGGAGCAGCCGGGGATCGAACCGGCGCTGCAGAGGCTGCGGGCAGCTTCGCAACCCAGCGCTCAACCGCTGCGCCACCAGGGAGGCCCTGGGCTGAATTCCTTAAAAAGAGTCTAACACGATTGCTGGCAACACCGGAAACTAAGAGCACAGCCTGGAACAGATTCTCCCCTCTTGCCTTCAGACAGGCATGGCCTGCTGCCAGCAGGTACTCACTGGCTCGCTCTGACTTGTGGTTCTACTTCTCTGCTTTAGCTAATCAGAAAAATATGCACCTGACTCCCACAAGTCTCCCCCTAAATCCCCCAGCATGTTATCCTCACTTGCACCTTTAAGAATATTCTACAAGCTGTCTGTGGAAAGCCTGGGCATTGTGCCGCTGTGGACCTTCGACCTGGCTGAGGCTGACTAAGCCCTTCCTACAAATGGCAGAGATAAGCTCTCTGGGACATTGCACTTGGCACACATGTGCAAGTATTTCTGAAATGGGAATTCCCAGGAGTGAGTGCTGGTGCAAAATTGCTTCTGGGAGAGAGTGTGTTAATTTGTGCTCTACCAACAGATCTTTTTGATTTGTTAAATAAATCTAATGGTTAAATAATCTCATAGTTGCTTTAAATTGCATCAGATGATGCGAGCTAGACTCTTTCATGTTAATTGACTATCTCCTGTGTAGTGTGTCCTTCCCCTGTTTTTTGGAGTCACTTATTTTTTTCACATTAAATAGTGTATGGGCTTTATAAGAGTGTTATGTGTTGCCAATTTTTTTATCATGGTTTTCTTTTTTTTTTTCCAACCCCTAAGATATCTTCCACCATTAGAATTTTTCAATTTTAATGTCAAAAATGTCAATCCTTTCCTTTAAGGATGCTGGGTTTCATGTCACCCCAGGTATATAGCAAGTTCTCCTATGCTCTTTCTAGAATGTTTGGCTTTATTTATACAATATATATATATATATATATATATCCATAATTTAATGTCTGGGAGTCTGGAGTACTGTAGAATTTTAATTTTCTCAAATGATCTATCATTCCCTAGCTTTGAAATGCTGCTTTTATTATATAGTTAATTCCCATATACAGCTGTGTCTCCATGACTCTGCTTATGGAATTTGTCTTCTCCCAGTGCATGTCCTGTCATGCAACAGACTGCAGTTCTACAGAGGTAGGCAAATGTCCTCCCACCCCCATTTTTCATCTTTATAGAACTTAAAAAAAACTGTTGGGGGTTTAGATTAGTACTGCTTAGAATTGATTGATTTGGGGGGAGAACTATGCAAAATGGGGATATTGAGTCGTCCCCTCTCCGTGTGTTGTTCCAGCTACTCAGGTCCCCTTTAGGACTTCTATAAAAGTGTTTTTTTTTTTTTTTTAATAACTCACACATTCCTAGTTGGATTCATTCCCAAATGTATCTGAGTTTGTTGTGAACGAAGTATTTTTCCATTATTTGTTCCATTTGCTTGCCGGACTAGCAAGAAATTAATTACTGATTTTGATAAGCTGATATTTCTAGCAAAGGACTTTACTGAACTTGAATGGCTTGTTCCTAAGAGGAGAATTCTGCTGGCCGACTTCTTAAAAGACATCTGAATATTTGAAGGAGAAGCCAGTGGACCGCTATTCCCGCCGACCAGGGTTTCCCAGGCCTTCACATGCTGGCACGTCATCTGGGGACTTGTGAAAATGCAGATTCAGGTTCCACAGGTTGGGGCTTGCCTCAGTTCTTGCAGGCTCGCCAGTGTGCGCCCCCGGCCACACTGTAAACAGCAAGAGGCTAGGTGATTCCTTTGTGGGACTCATCATAAACCAAGTACTTCTCTTGGGTTTCACATAAGACATACATAACTCACGCTGACGCCCGTGAAGCAGGAACACCTGTAGACCTAGGCAGGCTTCCCAGGAGGGGCTGTGAGACGTCAGAGCTGGACGAGCTTCGAGAAAGCAGCTCTTCAGCCACCTGGCTTTCCAGCTGAGACAGCTGAGGTCCAGAGAAGTACCTGAGTCATCAAACCCCTCATAGTCAGGCCCTAGATTTGGGGGGGCCAGATGTATTCCCAACTAACCAGAGGGCTGACCTTAGCCTCAGACTAGACCTCAGTTTCCTCATCTGTGAAATGAGGACAGAGATGTTACCTATGCACACCACAGCACTGACATGGGAGTGAAATGGACGGGAGGATGGCACGCGCGCCCAAGGGGGCCCAGGTCTGTCTTGCTCCAGAGCCATGCTTAAGCCCAGTGTGCTCTTCTCCCAGGGCAGATGTGAATGGGAAGGAGGTCTGTAGCCCAGAGGCACAGACTCAGATTGACAAGGCTAGTTGGTAGGAAAAGGAGGGCAGTGGTGGACATGGAGGCGTGTGGTGGGCAAGCAGGAATGAAGGAGACTGTGGCGGGAGTTGCGGGGGCTGCTGTTTACCTCGGCTAATGGAGGCCACACAGGACCAGGGCCCAGCACGTCAGGGTCTTCTGGGTTCCAAATGAGCCAGAGGTTGTGTGTAGCCCTCTACACTGTTAAGCTTCTGGATCTGACAGGGTAGCAACTAATTCAAGTTGTGAAAATTACTGTGTGGATCAGACACACCAAGTTCTGAGGCTGAACTTGGTCATCAGCCTGCCAGTTTACAACAGTGCTGCCAACAATGGTGATGCTGCCAGCGGCCCCCACCCTGGCTGCACATTCCAGCCCTGACCAGCTGTGGGGCTCCCAAACCGTGGGGCTGAATCATCAGTGTTTAGTGTAATCTCCCTAGGTGTGCCTTGTGGTACCCAGAGTGACGTCTGCTGTGCCCTTAAGGGGCTAGGATCTTTTAGGCATGGAGCTCAGGCCGGGGAGCTGGGCCCCTCACACAGCTCAGCCCCCCACCTCCCTAGAGCACCCTCGGCTGACTGCACGTCTGTGTGTCTTTGAATTTTCCAGGACATTGCAACCTGGCCAGGTCATCCAGAACACCCCAGTGAAAGCTGGATACAGGAAATGTGTCATCAAATTTACTTCCAATGAAGTGAAAGAGGCTCATGCTGAGATTCTTCTCATCACTGCCTGATGCTGTGGAAACACAAGCTGGGGCTCTGAGCCCTGGCTGAGGATTTCAGCATTTCCCACCATGGGCCTAGCTTGCAGATGACTCAAGTACTTAATTAGATTTCAGATAGGTAGATTTGATTAATCATAGAGGGTAGATTTAAGAGCCAGCTGGGGGGAAGATAAGGCATTCAAAGGCCAATACAAACTATAGGAAGCCAGGCCCACAGGGCCAGGCCATATGGAATCACAGCATCACCTTTTTATAGCTAGAAACATTCAGCTTGGGACATAAACACACACACACACACACACACACACACACACACACACACATACATGCCTGAGTCACCGCCTCAAAGAACCTGACCACAACTGCCTACAGTCAGGCATCCAAGCTGGATTCCCCCCTCAGAGCCATAGGCTATGAGAAGCCAGAGCTGCCCCACTGGGGCCCCCTGAGAAACTGCCACCTTGTTAGCCTAAGGGTTCACCTGCCCTGGAGGCGGCTACCCAATAGTCTGCTCCCATCTCCCATACCCCGAGGGTCCACTTTCCAGTTCTCAGAAGTCTCGGGCAGGCCAGCAGCACCCCCTCCTCTGGAGCAGGGTCTCTGGGTCCCCTGGAAGGAGGCACCTCCCAGTGCTGGACTGAAAGTCCTTCTGTTAACTGAAGCTGCTCCTTTTTTCTGCCCTCCAGAGACTTGCTCAGATGATCACTATGCTTTTAATTACACTCTGACTGCTTTATGATGACTACGTGGTTCCCTGGGTCACTCTTTTTTTCCTTTGAAAAAAACCTCCTTAGGTATCTTATGTGGGGGTCCCTTGGACGCAAGGAGCCACTGGATCCTCAGAACTGAATGGGGCTTTTTTCTGGGCCCCATTCAGCATGTTCAGCCTGTCAGGGTCTGTCACTTCAACTGGCTAATACTCTACCAGGGGCAAGTTGTGGGGTGAATGAGGGTTATTTTGTGTGTAGCTTGCATGACATTCAGGGGTGATGCACTGGAATCTAAAGTCAAAAACCCTCCTCAATCCTGGACACTTCACCCCCAATGCCCACCTCCCTGACATACAGTAGATGCTCAATAGATGCTCGTTATACAACAGGCTTTTCCTTTTTCTGCAACTGTGCCATGCATTTGTCTCCCACAATGGAAATGGGAGGAAGGCTTTTCCTAGAGGCGCTGTGACAGGGCCTGGGGTGGGGGAGATGCCGTCCAGAGGTCCAGACTGGAATGTCCTGCTAAAACAGAAGACTCCAGCCACTGAGGTTGAGCAAAGAACTTTATTCAGAGAAAGAGGCAAATGTTCACGGCAGCCTCCCACCTCCCGGAAGGCCCCGTTTTGCCGTCAGTGTAGTACTGTGTGAGGCTAAGCAGGTTATGCAGTCATCTGCCTCGGAGAAAAGGCCACAGGTCTCTGGTGTGAGGACATCGGGCTCAGGGCTGAGTTATTACCTACACAATCCTGGCAGGGCCCAGTCCAGCCCCTCCCAGAACGGGTTTGGCGTGGCTGAGGTCTCACCTGGAGTGGGGCGCAGTGCGGTGGCAGGGGCTGGGGCTCACTCTGCAGGTAAAATGCCTCCCCACCAGCCAATCTGAAAACCACTGACTGGAGCAGTTGGGTACCTCTGCTTTCAGGCCAATCTGGCCCCCTTCTTCAGGGGCATGTGGTTTTGCACACACCTCTGACCTCAGGCCTGAACTTAGCAGGCTGACTTTGTCAGCAAACAGTGAGCAGTAAGGCCTCTTCCCTCTTCTAACCGCTGCTTGTTTGGGACTCCCGCGGGTGGGAGTCTCTGGTAGAGTCTGGTAGTCTCTGGTAGAGTCTGGTAGAGTCTCTACCTTCACAGGTAGAGTCTCTGGTATACAGTATAATACACTGGCTCCCTGGGGCTGCCTGCTGGGTTGGGACAACAAATGGCAGGCTGCCACACATAGACTAGCTCTCTCCCAAAGTGGTGGGCACACAGCAAGCTAATGGGCTTCAGAAGCAGCCAGGGCTCCTTACACTGTCCTTAGTGAATACTAAAGCGGATATGAACCAAGAAAATGGCCTTGTGGCCTGGCTTGTGAGTGGAAGGCTGGGGCCTTTCTGGTTGCTCTGTCAATGCTGGAGTCTGTTGTGCCTCTCGTGGGACGTAATCAGAAAACTCTGGGCAGGGAGCAGCAGAGGTGGCTGTGTGAACACTGGCCCCTCTGAGAATTAAGCCCAGAATCCGGTGGGCCATCATGTAGACAGGGGGTCTGAGAGAGCCATGCCCTTCACAGAACACCCAAGGACACCAGCCGAGCACGAGGTCTTTGCCTGGCTCCCCTTCCTTCCCACTGCCACCACAGCCGCCTTCCCAGGTGGCCCGGGCTTTGCCTCCAAACACTGAACTTCTCCCATTGAACTGGGGCGTTAGGCTCCTGTGGACCAAGACTCATGCTCGTTTGTCTGGAGGGGCCCTGAAACAAAGACTTTGCACAGGCAGGCTCTGCCCCAGGGCCTGAGCCCCCACCGACCTGGGGGCAATAGGCCAAAGAGCAGAGCAACGGCTTAGGCCTGGGGCGGGAGTGGGGAAGCCGTTCTTATACCAAAGCGTTGCATGAATCTGCCTGTGGACTTGGTTGCTTCAGCAACCATTGGAAAGGGGTTTTGGAACCCCAGGGCCCCTGTTCGGGCCTTCAGTGATAGTGGTAGACTCCTCGGGCTTCAGATGAAATGACCAGGCTCCAGGCACATCCTGACAGTGTGTGTGTGTGCCCGTGGTTCTGCTCGTCTGTCTTCCCGGTTCACCAATTTGTAGGCCCTGACCACCACCCGTCTTTTCAGAGACTACATGGGCACTCTCTTGGGAGAACAGTCAGGAATTCTGCTCAGCCGTGAGCATGTGTGTTGTTCGACTCTCTCCAGGAGGGAAGGTCAAAATGCCGTTCTCAGGGGAGGTCAGAGTCCCAGTAGCTCTAAATAAGTGCTCCCCCTACTGACGCCCACCTGCACCGAGATTTGCGAGTGGGCAGATTTGCAGCACGGCTGTCTGACTCAGTGTTGACTCTAGTGTCATGGAAGGGAGCTAGGTTTGGGTGCTACGTCATACTTCAGGCTTGACGACCTGGGTGGGTCTGCACATCTGCGTGTGTCGGCCCAGTGTTGGGTCCTCCCCCAAGCCTAGCCTGATCTCCAGGCCTTTCCCCTAAAGTGTAGACAGGCAGCAAGGGGGGCTCTTTCCAGGGCGCGAGTGGGACCCTCACAGCCTCTCCAGGCTGGTGTCTCCTGAGGTCAGTGTCCCACCCCGGGCCCCCCAGAGCAGCCTGCCCTGTCCTTCCAGCATGACCGCGTGCCTCGTTCTTAAAAGCCAGGAGCCAGGACCTCGGCTTCCCAAGAAAAGATAGATATCCCAAGAAAAGTCAAAGTAAGTCCCTTTCTGCCCCTGGTGGCCCTGTTCAGAGCTTCCTTGGCTGGCCCAGCCTGTGCAGGCTGACGAGCCCTCTCTGGGCAGATTCTTCTCAGACGAACCGAGGGGAAGATTTTCATCCTTCTCTGACATCCCACCCCCACCCCCACCCCAGCACGGAGGCCCTCTATGGGGCCGAGTGTCACGGAGGGTGTTGATGGGCGACGACGGTGAGTGGCCTGAGGGGAGCAGGGGACACGGCCTGCCCGGGAGCCCCGGGCCACCACGCAGCGTACAGGAGGACAGGGGGGTTTCAGCGTCTGGCCCTCTCCCCGCGGCAGCATCACTCATCTGTCACCTCCACACAGTCCTGGTCCTTCCTGTCCTCCGACTGCTCCTCCGTGCTCTCCGTGTGCTCGGTGTCCGACAGCGACGTCGCCTGCCGCACCCAGGAGTCCCTTTCACTGATGGGCTCTGGCTGACATGGTGTGGAGAAGGGGCTGAACCAGCTCAGCGAGAAGTCCCCACCAAAGGTGTCTTTGATCGTCTTCCAGCTGCCCGTGTGCTCCCTGGGCTGCTGCTTTCGTTTCAGGCGCTCAATGGCCTGGAGGGACAACGGGATAGAGTCAGCGTGGAACGGGACAGGCATCCTCAAGCACCTCCGGCCCTGGCACAGCGGAGCCCTGAGATGGGCTGCCAGGCTGCAGCCTGCTGTGGGCCAGGTCACAGCGGGGCCTTCGGGGCCGATGGTGGGAAGCGCCCTAGAGCAGTGCAGCAAGCAGAGCCTTCACAGGGAACTGGCCTGTGTCCCACGCCCCCACCCCAGGAGTCCCTTCTCCCCTCCCAATGGTCTGCCCAGCCTTGCTAAATAAGGCCTCCTGCTGTGCAGGGGCCAGCTGCTGAGTGGCCAAGGGCCCAGGAGTCACCTTCCCAGGCATGAGCTGGGCCACCCACCCTGCGATCACTGAAAGCAGGCGCCTCCCTAAGTATTCTGGGCCACTCCCCCACAGCAGGTGCAGCATACTTAGCAGGAAGGGGGCAGGTGCAGGAGGATCACAGGACACACCAACACATGAGATAAGGGGGCAGACGTGTGTGCATGCAGCTGGCAGCCAGAGGGCACACGGGTTCACCGTGGAGAGGCGAGGGCTGGTCTGGTCATGCAGCTGACACGCCCCATGGCCTCTCCCAACCGGCCCACTCACCTGCCTCTGGGTGCTGGCTGCAGGTCAGCCAACGGGCCACAGAATAAGGGTGTTGGGTAGGGGGAAAAGCCCAAAAGAGTTACAGACAGCCAGGCTAGCTCAGGCCCTTCACACCCTCCTCAGAGGCTTTTACCCTGCACCAGGACCTCTGACTTCTTCATCTCTTCTGGAAACCAAGGGGATTTGCTGTGGGTTTATGGGTACTGCTCATTCCCATGTCTCTGTCACCTCAGAGCGTCTCTGTGCACCTAGATTTAGGTTTTCTCTTGTTTTTCACATAAGTTCCTTACGTAATTGGTGTAATCCTGCCTGTTATGCAGAATGACAATTGGAGGTGCACACACACATGATCTGACCATACCCTGGGCCAGTTCTGTGCTCACACTCGTTCTGCCCACACCACCTAAGAGACTAAGCTTCAGTGCTTTTGGAAAAAATTGCTGTTAAAGACTCTGAACTCAAAGCATCTCTTACAAAGAGTAAAACAGTAACTCTACAGTAGGGAAACTTTATAGACACATGAACCAAATCAAAGTTAACAAAACCAATAAGGGGCCTCTCCGGTGGCGCAGTGGTTGAGCGCTGGGTTGCGAAGCTGCCCGCAGCCTCTGCAGCGCCGGTTCAATCCCCGGCTGCTCCCCGGCCATGGAGGAGGGTCCCACATGGTGCGCAGACCTCTCCTGCCGCCCGCTGCTCCCCTCAGCAGTGTACTTGGGTCCTTCTGCCTGCTCTGTTCCCCGCTCTGGCTCTGGTGAATTCTCTCACCCTCCTGCGCTTCTGACTGTACCCAGTGCTTGTATAAATAAATAAATAAATCTTTAAAAACAACAACAACAACAAAAAACCAGTAAGGATATAGCTTATCAACATCTCGCAACCAGGAGGGCACATATCAGGTCAGGAGGCCCTGCCAGGAGGCACAGCGCAGAAGGACAGGGCACAGAATGCCTGGCCTGCAGCCTCCGAAAGGCTCAGAGTCTGATGGAAATGTATGGGACCCAGATGCGAGTTTTATCTCAATTTAAAAAAAGGGTCAATTTCATGAAAGACAAAGACTGTTGTGGATTGGAAGGGACTAATGAGACATGGCGCATGATGCAACGTGGATCCTGGAACAGAAAAGGATATTCCTGGGATGAGGAGAAATCTGAATAAAACACGCAGATTAGCTGACAGCATTGTATTGATCAATTTCCAGGTTTCTATGTTTGCATAATGGCTATATAAAAATGTTTACAGTGAAAAGTCTGAGGGGAAGTTGGTGCTCTTTGTTCTATTTTAATCAGCTTTTTGCGAGTCTGAATTTATTTCATAATAAAAAAAGTTAATTTTATAATCAGAAAAATGCTGTTTTAGAAAGTGGACCTTGACGACACAAGTCTTGAGGGAGCCCCTGTGGGTCCTGAGCACAGGGTGCTCGGATCAACCCCTCATCAGGCCTCTCCACTTAGTAGGTGGCTGACTTTGGGGATCCTGCATTCCTTCCAGGGTAATTAACCCAGTTTCAGGGGCACAGAGGGGACACCCAGAGGTGACAAATGGTTGTATCCACACTGAGTGTGATGTCTCACGACCAGCCTGAGCAGAGGAGGGTGTCAGCACTGACCCTGAGCAGGTGGAGAAGTAGAGGTTCAGAGAGGTCACGGTCATGGGCAAAGCTTGTCCTGGCCACACATCAGCACCAGGACTAGAGCTGGTGTCTTTTCTCTGCCCAATGTGCTTTCAGGACAAGGCCCTGGTCTGCTGTGCTGGTCTTGAGGGCAGCGAAAAGCCACGGAAGAAAAAACAAAGAGCACATGGTACTATTTTTCATCCTGGTGGCACGTTCCCATGCCAGAGTTCACGGGCTACAATCAACTTCCTCTTAACTCGTCAAAACCTTCCCGACGGAGCCTGATCTGTCCACCACATGCAGCTCCTCGGCAGTGAGGTGGACAAAGAGTGTCAGCTTTGACTCAGGAAAGAAAATTCTGCAAACGAATCTGCTGCATCAAAAAGGACTGAGAGTCTGGACTCTCCAGCTCAGGCAGTGGGGCTTCTTCCTCCTGGTAGGACTCAATTTTGAGTTTGGTGGGATTTGAGCTGTCCCGAGGCAACGACCTTAAACTGGAGATTAGCAGACGTGGCGGTAGCACCCTCGTCAGGCCCAAGTAAACAAGAATGGCTGATTCCTGGTGAGGCGGCCCGGCCTAAACCAGCTCCTCTCACAGAATGGGTGTGAATTGGGCCTTTTGGGCCTCCTTTGCTGGGTGACACGTGAGCTGCGATCTATAGACATACCACCAGTGCCCCACTGTGAATGTCCTCAATCTAAAGCAGGGGGAGGCAGAGACCCAAGTCCGTGGTCCATACACAGGTTGCCTCTGCTCCCTATGTCGTCCATGTATCAAGTCAGAGAAGCTAATGGGCTGTCTCAGAGGTGGCCAGATGACCTGGGCTCTCTGCTCAGTGGTTTCACATTTGCCGCCCACAGTAGTAAATCCTGCGTGCGTGTACTCACAGTTTCATGAACCAATATGTACCTTACAACGTGTAATTTATTTTTTTATGTCTTTCAAATAATGCTTTGCAAACTAATAAACTGATTCACTAATCGCAAACAGCTGTGACTCATGGTTTACAAGGTACAGCTTTAAGAGTTAACATCCACCCCACCACAGTGTCTGGGCGCCAAACTGACATTTACATTATCTCATTTAACCCTCACATCACCCTTGTGATTTAGATGGCCATCCTGACTTCACAGATGCGAAGACTGAGGCCTACTGACTGCTCGAGTTCACACAGGAAGACATCACCCCAGCTATAGAGGTTCAGGGGGTATTTTTTTTCCCTGTCAGAGCATGTGCTTCCCCCCGATTTTGCAAATGCTACTCTGGCTTGCTTTTCATAAATCCTTGAATCATTTTCATTAGCTCCTGTGTGCGAGGATGGAGGGGCTCTGGAGGCTACTCTGCTGTGACAGGTGATCACACGCTCAAGACATTGATGAGTTTTTCTTGTGGGAGAGAGTGGGACCATGAAGCCTTCAGCTTCTGTTTTACTGTCAATGCTTGGTCTTCTAGGAGGCTATTCTCAGGTCAAATATGTACTACAGGTGCAGGGTAAATGAGATGCTCAGGCTTTTACACCGCCAGCCTTTGTGGCTATCACTTGTAGCCTTGAATGCAGGAGGCGCTTGGGAGCATGGTCACGGGGCACGCAGGCCTGATTGTGGACACCTGGAGTGTGGTGTGGGCACGTGTGAGTGGGCACACCTGAGCCTGGAGGCGGAGCTATTAGGGCAGCGTCACCGAGGATGGTATGCAGTGGAGAGGACACCAGAGAGAGTAAAGATATGGCGGGCGCTGGGAGGCCTGCCAGCCCTCCAGCCCCCCTGCCTGCCCTGCACCTGGTTACCTCACTACAAATGGTGTAGAAAGATCATTAAAAGCCTGAAAAAGCCACTGAGGGCTCTGGACTCTGCTCTACCCGGCTGTCTGGATCCACAGAGAACCTGCCCCGTGCTTGCTTCACTACCAGAGGGTACAAGAAAAAGGCAGGTGGGGATGAGGCCCACAGATGGAAACCAAAGGCTGAGACACACGCATGTGCCCGCGCTGAGCCGATTCCTCCCGGGCCACCACTCTCCCCTGGCTCCACTCCTCCCCTTCCCTCCCGGGGTGGTTTTTCACCCGAAGGGCCCATGGCCGAGAAAACAGTTGGAAAGATGAGACGTGCAGAAGGACCGCGGGACAGACTAATAATCGGCTCCTCTCCATTCATTTGCTGTGAGGCCACATGTAGGGTAAGTGCGCTGGTCAAGCTTTTTACGCCGCTAGCCTCTGTGGCTGTCACCTGCCGCCCTGATCGTATTGATGCGGGAGGCGCTTGGGAGCGTGGGCTTGGGGTGCGCGTGCCTGATTGTGGACACCAGGAGTACGGGTGTGGGCCAGCGAAAGTGCACACCCGAGCCTAGAGTCAGGTATACGGGGATGACGTCACTCAGACAGAGGATGGCTGTGGGAGGATGGGTGGTGTGACTATGGGACAGGCGAGACTACAAGACTAGGCCAGAGAGGGCCTAGGGAGGAGTGAAAAGATTTGCTGGGGTGCTTGGTTGCTGCCAGCCTCCTGGCCCCTGGGCCTCCCTGCCTTGCCAGCCTACAGGCTTGCCACTACACTGCAGTTAAGGGGAGGAGAGGTGAACAGTCTGTACACCCATCTAGTACCACGCTGGGCCTGGCAGCACACAGGACCCCAGCAGGCATCAGGGACCACCTGTAGGGTCACCCCCACAGGCCCCAGTAGATTCTAACTCAGGCGCCTCAGAATCACCTGCTAAAATGCAGACTGCTGCGCCCCACCCACCCAAGAGTTTGAGTGGTCTGGGGTAAGGCTCCAGAAAGTACATTTCTTT